AAATGGTCGATCGAGTCAATTGGGTTAGTGAAGACCAATTGATCGGGCTAGTGACAGCTGATCGATCGAATCAACAATGAGTGGTTGAACGAGTTGATTGGATAGTGGCAGTCAATCAATTGAAGCGACAGAGATGGTTGATCAAGTCGATTAGGTCTGGGGCAGCCGATCCATCAAGTTGATGAAAGGTGTTCTTAAAAATCGATCGAATTGATGATGGTCAATTGGTTGAACCAATGGAGATGGTCGTTCGAGTCAATTAAGTCAGAGGCGATGAATAGATCATTTTGACACAAGGTAATTGGATGAACTAATCAGACTGGTGGCGGTCGATTCGACATAGATGGTCAATCAAGACGATTGGGTCAGTGGCGGTAGATCAATTGAGTCGATGAAAGGTGACCAGAGGAACTGGTCGAACCGGTGGCGGTTGATCGATCAAATTGACAGAGATGGTTGATCTAGTCAATCGGGCTGGTGGCAGTCGATCGACCAAAGAGACGAAGATGGTTGAACGAATTGATAGGACTGATGATGGTCTATCAATGAATTGATAAAAAGGTGGATCTAGTCAATCGAGTTGGTGGCAACTGAATGTTCAAATCAAAGTAAGGCGGTCGGACAAACTGACTAGACCGTTGGTGTTCGATTGATCAAACTAACATAAATGGTCGATCGATTCGTTCAAATTGGTAGCAGTCGATCGATCAAATCAACAAAAGGTAGTCAATCAAGTCGATAGTTGGATAGGTGATTGAGGAAACATACAAAAAAAATGGCATTTTTTTGTGATTTTATAATTTCATGCTATGCACTCAACAGAGATGCAAACACATGCAAAATGAGACCCAATCGTGCTTTGTGACAAATTGAAATCGTCCTAACAAACTAATGGGATCCTAAGATTTGGTGGTATGTAAATTCGATGGTTAATCGTCACAAGATGTGGCAATTAACTGTCGTCATTTGCTCGACCTATCACAAAGGAGTCTTATGAAAGGAAGCCTTCGTGATCTAGAAAATGGCAAATTTCACGAGAATATTTTTTCTCTAACAAAAAATGGATTTTTTTTCCATCCAAAGGATAAAATCACTGGGCAAATACGAGATTGCCAGAATCCCAATTTTAGAGTTCGGAGCTACGATCAAGTAGGTTATGCACTTGGATTCGTAGGGGGATCGCAAAGCACCTAATCCTATGGTGCTTTACTCTAAGCTCAACAATTCTAAGTCCTTAGACCTCTAACATCTAGACCTAGGGTCTCTAAGAATGAAATTGCGAGGGTTTCAATAGTTATCATTGTCGCGAAGATTAATGACGCGTTCTCTTTGCTTGTCCACGCTTTGACATTGTCGCTTGCAACAAGAATGAGGTTCTCCTTCTGCAAGGAGAGTCCAGCGAATGCAAAAAAACCCTCACAAATCTGTGGGAGAAGGGAGACAATAGAGATATCTTGAGATCTTCTTTCCTTTCTACTAAGGTTCCTTCTCCAAGCAAGAGGAAAGTGGCCTCCCACAACAAGAAGCTCCAAGCAATGCCCTTTCTTTTTCCCCTTCAAGTGCTTTCACTCTAGTTCTCTCCAAAGATAGTCCCCTTGACTGTTCAAGAACTTCCAACTTGGAGGAAAACTAGCTCCAAGAAGTATTTTCCATAGAAGAAGAAGTAGAAGTACAGGAAAAAGAGGTGCAGTCCTCCAAGAAATTTTCTCTAGGGAAGATGACCAGAGCTCAAAAACCATGAGAATGGAAGCTAGGAGAGGAATGGGGAGGAGGAGTCTTTCCTTGGTTTCTCCTCCCACTTTTGTTGAGATTGCATGTCTTTTATTTTTTAAGAGGCTCCAAGTGTTCAAAAGATGGATATTTGTCTACCATTTCCTTCCCCCATCCAAATATTCCCTAATTATTCCCTTAAACAAGCTTTCACAGCTGCTTAAGAGGTATTTCAGGCTGGATTTGAAAGAGATTTTAAGGAGGAAAATAGGTTCAAAAAGCAGACTGACGCTTAATGAATGTGATTCTAGCGCCCAGACGCTTTGTCTGGACTGTGATTTTAGCGCCCAGATGCTTTGTCTGGCACCTTGGCCCGATCTGCTCCCCGGGGCACCTACTTTCCGCGCTCTCAGTTTTGGAAAGTTCCAGGGCTGCTTTGGGCACCTAGGCGTTGTAATTTTATGCATATGTGTTGTGGCTTGGTGCCTAGGCACTGTGGCCTGCCGTCTAGGCACTCGGGATTGTGGCTACATTTTGTCTTCTTGGTTTTAAGCCCCATAGGATCTGTTTTGGGAGCCTAGGTGCCAGGGTCTTGGGCAACAAAATCCTTGATACAAAGCCCATAAAAGTGTTTATCTTTGATGTTGTGGGACTATATTTTATTAATATTTAGTCTCCCATAGCTCATGAAAAAATTTCTTTGTAAGACGTTTCGGGTGAAACTCAAGGTTTTCAAGCTAAACTGCCGCTTAGGAGCCATCTTCTGGCACCTAGCCCCAAGATCCTGGGAGTATGGCGTTCTAAACCCTAATCTCTTTAGAAATACACACGGGAAGGTTCGATGGATTCCTTTGACCCCGGGAGGCTCCTAATAGATGGGGCATGCCCAGTCTCTAAACATTAGAATGGACATCAAATATATGCTATATCATAGCTAACGTCAACAAACGATGGACTCTGTTGAGCAGGGTTGAACCATTGCAGACCCTGGTTTTATGCATTGAAGATGTGCCAGGAGGTCCATAAGGATGTCTCAGATTACGGGATGCTATGAATGAATATTAGATAGTCCCAAGTCATTCGAGTGCACATCCTACATGTGTGACATAAAAAAATTCATGCCAACAACGTCATCTAGGAATGATTGGAATTCATTCGACTAATATAGTTTGGATACTTGGGCTCTCTAAATTGGTTAGTTTTCAAGAGTGAGTTGCTTGGAGGCTAGGGCTTTGATGTGGTTGAGAAGAAATTTTTGGGACATAGAAATGAATAAAGTGGTGTTGGAAGATTGGGTTCAATGTGTGTTGTTGGTTTGGGAGGAAGAGGCCATGAATAGTTACAATTAAAAAAAATGGAGTACTAAAAAAAGATGGAGAAAAATAAGATGAGAGGAAGAAACTGGAGGTAAGGTTTGTTCGTAACCTGCTCTGATAACATGAGAACGATAAAACTTCGAGAGAGGACCAAGTTATTTTATTCTTTTAAATATAAATATTACTAAAATAGTTCAAGTGTTAATAAAGATATTCGAACTTAAACTCTATTAACTCATTCATTTCTCGGCCTTTTGGCTTAGATATCTTATATCTATAATTAAAACTCCTTTCATGACTCAATTTGATATGTCAAATATAAATACTGATAAAATAAGATTGATATTTTATTATATTAGTAATTCACATTTTCATTTTAAATTCATACGATGCTCATATGTTTTTACATTTGCATAAAATCTATTATATATTTTTGGATCATAAGCATTAAATGATGGTGACGAGCTACCTTTACTGAGAGGTCTTGACCCACAATGTTGTAATTTTTTGTATCTCAAGTTCTTTTCAAAATCAACTCAATATCTCCTTCATGTGAAAAAATGAGAATTTATTTTTTTTTAATTTTTGCGAGTCAATTTTTAGTGTGAATTTCAAAATATTCAATCTAGTATATATTGATTTCATTTATTGTATATTACTTTTTTCACTTTTTAATATGCTCAACATGGAGTGATGTTAGACTCGTTCTATTCTTTTGATTATGAAACATATTTAGAGTATAAGCATACAAGATAAAAAACTATTTATTGCTTAGATAAATTTAAGAAAAAATGTAAAATAATTAAAGGAAAGATATGTAAACATATTAGTTTGAATTTGTCCAAGAGGCGCAACCAAGGGATTCGAGGATTTGAACCAAGAGGGAAGGAGAGAAAGAGAGAGAGAGAGAGAGAGAGAGATTGAGAGGGGGGAGGAGAGTAGTGCATAGTGACTTGCTCGATTGGGGGAAAATCGGGTATTTTCGGGTCGTGTGACCCTATCTATATAATCAAATGTTTTTGATACATGAAGATAGTGAAGTGTCTACAGTCTCTCCCATGAGAGAAGGGAGAGAGACCAAAATGTCCTATTACATGAAAAGACAGCGGGTGAGTAACGAATTAAATTTATATTTATAACCTCACTTTTGTGGGGGTTTGTACATGTTATTCTATTAAATAAGTCCCTATCGGCCTAGGGTTTTGTCGTATTCTGGCCTAGCGTTTTGTCGTATTCTAGCTCGATCGACTAGGATTGAAGAGGTGAATCAATCAATGCTGTCGACTGGCCTTCTGTACGAGGTACATCGGTTGTTCAGCCATTTAGGTATAGGTGACCACGGGGATTCTAGTAGATAGTTGGGGAGATGGGTTCGTCTGGTGATGTTGTCCGGCTATATGAATTGAGCAATATGTCTGTCCTCAATTCCCGCCTGGGAAATTCTTACTGGCTGAATAAACTTGTATCCTCGATCAAAGGATGCCTTCTGGACATCTATCGTTGGGTCAGTTCCAATGAATACATCATAGTATGAGCATGTCTAAATTGACATGAACTGATAACCTTTATTATTTTTTTGGGGTTTTTCTATTTTAAATCGCATAGTTAATTCCAATCTTGTTAATTGGAACAAAATGAAATTTGATTGTTAGTACTAGCGAAAGAGCAATTTTTTTTATTCAGAAAGTATTTTAATTTTATTTTATAATTCTTGAAATAGTTTATGAATTTCTATTAAAAAACAATATTTACATATATTTTTCAATCAGCCCACAGAACACACCAATACCAATTTATAACTAAAAAAAAAAAAAAAACTTCCCTTTCTACCAGCTTAAAACTCTTTTAACCATCTCTAGTTACATACCATTTACATGCTTAAAATTACTCACTAAATGACATTAAATCATGATTACAAAATAGCCCAACTCATCAGAATCTCTATATAAACAGACCCCAATCCCTTCCCTCTGCTCTCAAAACTGAACCACCAACTCTTCTCTCTTCCCCCATTCTCCTTCCTTACCACAAAAACACTGATAAAAGCAACAAAAATGAGCTCAACCTTAAACCTCAATGATGACAAGACAGTAGAAACAGTCATGGTGGGAAGGTACATGGAAATGGAACAGGAAGGAGAGAAGAAGACAGCCAAGTCTCGCTTCTCCTCCCTCCTCTGGCATGGCGGCTCTGCTTATGACGCCTGGTTCAGCTGCGCCTCTAATCAGGTTTAACAAAACTTAATTTTTAGTTTATTTAAACTGTCAGGCTACTGATCAACCATCCTCCATCTTCTTCCTCTTTCTCCTCCCAGGTTGCCCAAGTTCTTCTCACTTTGCCCTATTCCTTCTCCCAGCTGGGCATGATCAGCGGCATCCTGCTGCAGCTTTTCTATGGTCTCATGGGAAGCTGGACTGCTTACCTTATAAGTATTCTTTATGTAGAATATAGAACCAGGAAGGAGAGGGAGAAGGTGGATTTCAGGAATCATGTTATACAGGTAGCTTTTTTATATAGTTTTCATAATGTAATTTTGCTTTCAAGATTAAATTTTTATGCTGTTTTTTTATTTTTCTGTGAAGTGGTTTGAGGTTCTTGAAGGTTTACTTGGAAAGCATTGGAGAAATGTTGGTTTGGTTTTCAACTGTACATTTCTTCTCTTTGGCTCAGTTATCCAGCTGATTGCCTGTGCTAGGTATGATGGAAAAATTGAATCTTTTTTGGTTAAAAAGTAAAAAAAACCATCTTTTACAAATATATAACTTAAAAAAGTCATTTTTTCTGCTAATTTTCTGTCTGAAAATGATTTTGCAGCAATATATACTACATAAATGATAAGTTGGACAAGCGGACATGGACTTACATATTTGGAGCCTGCTGCGCTACAACGGTGTTCATCCCCTCTTTCAGAAACTACAGAATATGGTCTTTCCTTGGTCTTCTTATGACCACCTACACTGCTTGGTATCTCGCCATTGCTGCTCTTCTTCACGGCCAGGTGATTAATTAAAAAAAGTAAAAAATCAAATTTTTAATTTAAAAAAAATAAGAAATTTAATATTTTGAAAATTTATTTCAGGTGGAAGGTGTGAAGCATTCGGGGCCAGCGAAGATGGTTCTTTACTTTACAGGGGCTACCAACATTCTCTACACCTTCGGAGGCCACGCTGTTACTGTGTAAGGCGACAAACTATTTGCTTCCCAAAGTACATAAAATAAAATTTTCAAAAAATACCGGTTGGATCAAATAATTCCTCTGGGAACATTTCATTTAAGAATATTTACATACATACCCCACAATTTTTATGTATTTACATATCTATTAATTTTTACTTATTTATGTATTAAAAGGTGTATTTTACCTTTTAAATTTTAAAATGTTAGCATTTTTTGCATGAAAGATTTATTTTTATAAATGTAAAAAGCTTAGTTGTTATATATATATATATATCAAGTATATATATATATATAAATATATAAAGTAATGGCAAAGGTTGTTGTGCTAGCCCCGACTATCTCTCATGTGTCTAAGAATTCGACTATCACTTCCTACACTTAGAGAGAATCGAACTCGAGACTTACAACTAACAAGTAGATGTCCTACAAACTGTTCTGAGAGTGTGGCGTCATACACATATATATATATATAATATTAATGGCTCCTTAGTTTATTATATTGCTCTCTATTTTTGGTAAAGATGGTAAAACTTGCCCATGTGATGTGATAGATGAGGCCTCTTGTCAATTTATTTTTTAAGAAAAATGTTATAATTTACTTAGATTAGTGAAGGCCTGTTTTGTTAATATTCATATTATATTATGTCTTTTTGAATCGCAAATCAGCTCCTTATTTAAACTAATATTTTCCCTATCTAAAACACACATTAATGTATATAAATTTTTCATAAAGTGGAGCATTCCTTGCATAATCCATATACTTTGTTCACTGTGTATTTACTGCACTAGCAGCTTTGGCTTTAAATACTGACAACATTTTCTTTCTCAGCATTTACTTTTCCATCAATACCTCACCATACTATCAATTCAACCACACCACACAAAAAAAAAAATCAAAATGGAATTTTTGTTTCCAATTTTGTTTCCAAAAATGAAAATATTTAATTTATTATTTGGTATATCTGCAAAAAGAAAAGTAAAAAAGAAAAAGAGAAGCATGGCTTGGCTTCCTCTGCTCCTCCCCCCTCATAAAGAGAAGTGAAAACCTGTAGTATTCATTGCACTGAACTGGTTTACTAATCTTTCTGATCATCTGCTGTTCTGCTACTTTCATATTTACACATTGAAAGATAAACTAAAATAAAGTAAAAGCTGCTCCCAAAATTTGTTTTCTTTATTTTTTTCTGTCATCTCAGTTTCAATTTCTTAAAAATGTTTAATTTCATTGATTTTATCTGTTTTATTTTAATTCCAATCAATTGAAAAAAATCTGAAGAATCATAATAAGCCAAAGACTGACGCTTCTACTTTCCACACTCAATCCTTGGACGGTCAAAGAATCAATCTTTCACTTCTTTTACAGCCTGCAACACCTGCCAAAATATTGTACATTTGTTGATCTCTTTTGAGATCATATATATATGTATATATATATATATGTATAAATATATAGACATTGATATATCACAATGATCCCCAAAAATACTACATTCACAAAAATTTGTGCAAAAAAAATTATGTGGACCATATTTTTATGTCGAATCAGTCAACTTTAAAACAGTGTCATCCAACTCTTTTTGGTCTGTTTGATGTAGTGCTTATGAACATTCACTTATTTCTTTCAAAACAATCTTTCAGCTTTTCAACAATCTTTTCAAAAATCACTTAAGCTTTAATGTAATTATAATTAACCATAAATGCAAATCATTAGCATCAAAATGGTGCATTGATAAACACAAAATCATGAAAATTTCGCCTAAATGCATATTACTATTAAAACATATAAACATTTCTATCATTAATCCATTTCTTCATGCAGGGAAATAATGCATGCTATGTGGAAACCCCAAAAATTCAAATCCATCTACCTCTTAGCCACCGCCTACGTCCTCACCCTTACCCTACCTTCGGCCGCCGCCGTCTACTGGTCGTTCGGCGACCAACTCCTCGAGCACTCCAACGCATTCGCATTGCTACCCCGCACTCCCTTCCGCGATGCCGCCGTGATCCTCATGCTCGTCCATCAGTTCATAACATTCGGCTTCGCCTGCACTCCCCTCTACTTCGTTTGGGAGAAGGCCGTCGGGCTCCACGACTGCCGGAGCATGTGTAAGCGCGCCGCCGCCCGGCTGCCGGTGGTGGTTCCCATTTGGTTTCTGGCCATCATTTTCCCTTTTTTCGGACCGATAAACTCAGCCGTTGGATCTCTGCTGGTCAGCTTCACTGTTTATATTATTCCGGCTTTGGCTTATATGTCTACGTTCAGGTTCGGGCATGCACGTGAGGTATGATGATTAGTGATTTTGTTAATTTAATTAATTGATTGATTTGTTGGTTGATTAATTGTCATTAGTCAGAGAAATTATTAGATTAGATGTCTACATGTTTGGACAATATTTCACGTCCCATCACATCACCCATATGATGAGTGGGCGAGGCCTGGGCCTAATAATTTATGTGTGTGTGCTGCAAGCCGTCACCTATTGGTTGGCAGGGTTCACTGTAAGTCCACTCAGGTCACAAGTTCGATCCTCCTTCGCACGAGGTTCTCGAATATTAGGCACAAGGAGCGAGCTCTCATCATGGGGCCAAAAAACGTATGAAAAATCCCTATTTGAGCATCTGCTAAATATTGATTTCCTACTATATATATATATATATATATATATATATATATATATATATATATATGAAGACTTTTAAATGTTAAGGTGATGATATTTTTGATGTGATATAAAAGAATTGGGCGGTATGAATGTAAAACTTAAAATTTAGGGGTTGGATAGGTAAATACATGAGAATTGGGTGCTATGTATGTAAATGCCGCTTTTAATTATTGATAGGGTGGTAGGTTGAGTGGAAACACGTGAAATGTGGTGATTAAAAAGCAATGCTATGCTGTCAAATATGAACGTTTTCTCGATTCGTCAGCTTATGAGAATTTTAAAAGATATTGGAAGTTTAACTAATCGTCATTAAGGATGTTAATGATGTGATTAGAGTTGGTATTATGCTGCTAATTACGTGTTAATGTTAAGTTAAAGATGGTTTGATTGACTTGGAGTGATTGTTAGACCGACATGTGGACCTAGTCAAATAAAATATGAATGGTTTATCGTTGTTATCGTAGCTTGTGAGGCCATGTGAATCAAGTAAAATTTTGAATTTTTCAAGAGCGAGAGGGCATGTTCTATGATAAATAATTATTTGCATTGTGTACCACCTCCATATGAAGTTATAATTTTAAATAGTAATATGCTGTATAGATAAATTATTTTTCATAGTTTTGAAGAGACACGAATCATTCCCCAACATTCTTTTGTTACACCACAAATGTTGGATTGTATTGCATGTTTAATGTTAATTATAGACTAATTGTTGCTTTTTTTGCTTGTTTTTTATATTTTATTATATGTTTTATGACTTTTAATGTTCCTGTTAAACACATAATAAGAAGTGATTTTTCGCAGAATGCAGTGGAGCCACCACCTAGATGCTTTGGAGGTTGGATAGGGGCCTACACCATCAACACAATCATAGTTGGGTGGGTATTAGTCATTGGGTTTGGGTTTGGTGGATGGGCTAGCATGACAAATTTCATCCATCAAATTAACACATTCGGTCTTTTTACCAAATGCTACCAATGCCCACCACCATTGCCTCCTATTTCGCTTCCTGTTGATACGCCAGTTGTCGCCCCCTCGCCTTTCTCATACAACATTATTTCTAACTCGAGCCAATCTACATTCTCTTCTTCCCCTTCACTTTCTCCTTCTGCCTCCTATTTTCCTCATCACTTTCACCATCACAACTATCATCATGGCCATTGATCTTCTATCAATCATGTTGAGAGTTAAAGCTTGATCAGAGAAGTGTTGGATAAGTTATTGGTTTCTTGTTTTGATTACAATTTCCTCCTCAGCTTCTGTAATGCTTGAATGGTAGACAAAGAGAAGGACATGTTAGGGCTACATGGAAGAAGGGCTACTCTCTTGGAATTTGCACTTTGGATAGGTATTAAATAACTAGCATTTTTGTTTTATTTTGAGTTTGAGGGAATTGCTTTGAGAGATCATTAGAGAAGTAATTGTTGGTGTAATAGTTTGCTTTGTATGAACCTTATTCTATTTTTGTAGTGTTGGGTTGTGTATCTTTTTTTCATTAATCAAAATTTGTTCTCCATTTAAATTTTAAGCTTAAAATTTATTTTTCTTTTTTCATATGTAGGAATTGTTACCTTGTTAGTTGGGGAGAAGAGAGCCTTGATTGCCTTGCTTCTACTTTTCTCGATGGACATTCAAGAAACAAATAAAAATGAAGACAACACTAAAGAAAAAAATATTAATTCTAGAATATAGAAATAATGAATAATTATTTTTGAAATTTTTAAATATTTTAATATATGTTATTAGTATGATAGGTGTGTGGGTAGGTGATCTATGCAAATATGTGATGCTCTTTTGTTATGCTTGTTGTGTGAGCTACGTATGAAGAAAATAAAAAGTAAAACAAATAAAAAAGATGAAACAAGATATAGGCTGTGCTTTGGGCAGCTTATTGGGCCGCGACACCGTTTTGAAAATATTGTCGCAGTGTTTGAAAAATGTGTTGGGGCAGATTATAAGTGCCGCTTTGAAACGCTGGGTGAGAAAATGTTAATAGCGTATGAAGTGGGAGGCCTCCCGCGTCCTGCGTCTGCGTAGCGCGTTAGTGTTAATTTTTCCTGCTCTACCCTTCACCGCTCTCCCTCGCTCTCGCCTTCTCGATCTACCTTCTTCTTCCTCACCAACGCCGAGATCGAAACCAAGGTAAATATTTGTAACGAAAATCGCCAATCTCGCCCTCCCCGGCCTTTCTTTTGTTTATTCTTGCCTCAAATGAGGTATGTCTTCTTCCTCCTCCCCGATTTTTTTTTGGTGTGCACTTGATATGATGAGCTAAACTCTGCCACAATGGTGTGGATCTAAGGGTGGTTAGAGCTAAACTCTGCCTTGTATTTCACCATTTAAAAACCCTTCACAAAGAAGGGAGCAGAGAAGAAAATTTATTTTGATCTAAGAATGTTATTGGCAGACTTCTTAAAATTGTGGTAGTATATTTGGAGTTGGTGATTGATTTGGAGTTCAAATTGGTTTGATTGTACGAAAATATTACTTGAAATTTTATGACATCTCTTTTTTGTTGGTGTGCACTTGATATTCATTGAAGGATAATGGGATCTTCGAACATATTTCTCTTTTATGATAATTGGAGTGCCTTGAAGTTTTTCTTTTGCTCTGTAAAGGTGAGAAATGGGATCTTCGAATATATTGCTCTTTGAACACATTATTGAAGTTTTTATTTTGTTATGTAAAGGCGAGAAATGGGAACTTCGAACACATTATTGATTTTTTCGAAGTGTTCTCCAATGCCCTTATCTTCATTGGCTTATCATGTAGTTTTCGTAACATAATATAGAAGTACACAACTATGCTTGCTTAGGACAAGAAATGGGATCTCCGATCTAATGCCTACATGTATAATTAACATAATTTGGTAGATTAGAAGCTTGCCATTCTTTTGCTAACATTAATGCTGATTTGGAATTGGGGGGAAGGAAAAAAAATGTTGAGGAGCATTTACATACATGCCACCCAATATTGATTCTCTTTTCTATTTTGAGAAGCCATGAAGAACATGAGAATGAAGCTTTCAAAATTGAATTCAGCCCCTAATGAGTTGGCATTTTGATTGTCATTGTTTACCAGAATTTAACTACTTTTTCTTGTGCACACATCATCATCAAAGTGAGGAAGAAATGTTTATAGCCATTAGATTGTTTATCGAAGGTGATTATGCTATTATTTTTACAAAGTGGCTTATGCTATTATTTTTACAAGGTGAATTATGTTATTATTTCATATTTATGGGCTTGTAAAAAAAATGAGTGATTGCTTAATAGGTGGACAATCCAGTTTTATGTAATCTATTTGTTCAAATCAGTGTGAAACATGGCTATTTATTGTCATCGTCTCATTAGCTTTAAAATTATTAGCCTTTTGACCATAAAGTTTTATGGTTTCCTAAAATTAGATAAAATGATATACTATTATATAGATTTTCTCTATTTTTACTCTTGAGATGAGTAGTGTTTGTGTTGAGGGAAGAGCAGGTACTCATTTCACTTACTGTAGATCTTTAGATGAGTTTACTGTTGAGATGAGTTGTTAGACTCTTGAGATGTGGTATTGTTTGGGACTATGGATCCTTTTATATCTAATAATATCTAGTTTAGCCTGTTTTGACGTTGAAGCAAATGGCCGGTTATGCTTCTCATTCTTGAAAGAAGAATATTATTTCAAAAGCTTTGCAATTACTTTTTTAATTTACAATTACTTTTTGTTATTCTCTAGTTTCGTTGGGTGCAATTGCTTTTATAATTCTCTAGTTTATGTTTCTCATTGTAGAAACTAGAATATTGTTGCAAATGCTTTGCAATTACTTTTTCAATGATTTCGATTCCTTGACTATCATAATGCTAACTAGATATGGCTTCTAGATGTATGCACATATGAGATTTTGTAATGAATGTTTGCTTGGAATATGATGATATTATATGTTAAGTTCATATGTGTAACCAAAAATTCTTCATATAGTTCCAACATGGCTAAGCCGAATGACGATGACCTGTCAGCTATGTAGGATAAGGAAGTTACGTAAATTTTTTGCAATCTCTGTATTACAAAAATTGAAATTGGGAATAGGACAACCACATATTTTAACAAGGAAAATTGGCAAAATATCGCAAAAAAGTTTAAAGAATTGACGGGAAGAGATTACGACAGGCTGAAATTCAAAAATAAATAATTGAAGAAGAAGTAGAAAATTTAGAAGGAGCTCAAATGTGGATCCACCGATTCCTTCCGACGACATCCCTCTCAATCAGATGCAGGCTTCACTTTGGTTGATGACGATCAACTTATTGTCTCTCCAGAACCTTGAAAATCTATCGTTAGCCAAACATTACCTGAGAATGAGATCGAGTCGATTGAATTTGAAACTCAGGACGGTGAAGGTGTAACCGAGATGACTGCTTTGAAGGAGTCTAGCAGATGTTATATGTGGATGTTGATTTAGCCACGCTTCTTTATTTATTAGACTATATGTTGATTTCAGATGTATTTCGTTGTAGTATGGATTTGTAGTTTATGTTTTTATTAAGAATTTCGTTTGTATCATTAAAATGTTCGAATCTATAATAATGACGTGTTTGCATTTCGATTTAAATTCTTTGTTTGTTTTGTTTGTTTTTTTAGGTGTGTGAGGGCAGTGATGAATGACGGAAAATATGGCCTCATGAGTTCTTTTGGATGGCTGATTTGGTGTTCTTATCTAGTATTGCATGTGTATTCCTAAAGAAGGCAACTGATATCCTCCATTGTTTTGGGTACGTCCACTTATGAGGATTTATCTAGATGGCCTTGTTTTGGTGATATACACATCTGACACAGGATGATCATATCCAGTTGGTATTGCATGTGGAATACTAAAGAAGGCAACCTAGGTCCTCTCTTCTTGTCAATGTAGTGCAACGGTATATGAGGATCTACTGGATGGTTTTTTTAGTAATTGACACATGTATCCCAAGATGATTGTCCCCGTGGGTTGAAGTCAACCAATAACTCATTTTTTTGGAAGGTCCACTGTCTCCATTTAGTGACAGACATATGGGTTGGTGTAGTTACTAGTTTGAGACCACACACTCACTTTTTTTATGCATATTTCGGTCGAACCGGTTTTCGTTTGTTTAAGTTCTCTTGTTGCTTTATAGAACTTAATTTAATTTTCTGATCTGACAAATGACTTCTATTGTTTTATCTCAATAGCAACATGAGTTCTAGGATTTCAAGGACCTCCCGAGTTGTGTTGTGTTACTGCGGACTCCCTTACTCACGTCACGACAGCCTCATAGCAGTGAGAGGCAGTTTTACAGTTGTTGAAGGGGCGTTGCAACACGATGCAGCTTCTTCCATTGGGTCGACATTCCAACATACTCTGTTGCCGACAGTGATCGTTGTATTATGATTTCCTAGGAGGACAGTACAGCTAAGGACAAACGATGTCAGAGTTTTAAATTAAACATTTTAATATTTTTAATTGTACTTGTAGTTGCCTTTCTCTTTATTTTATTTCTTCTAATACTTACAAGATAGTGAGCAGTGTATTTTATTTTTTTGAACTGATATGTAACAGTTTGAGGCTTCTGTTCTATGTATTATTTATCTCATACAGTTCTGTTGCAAATAATTTCACCAAACAAGAGCAGAATTGTCATTTATACAACAACAACTATCAATAAGCTATTTTGAATAAGCTCCCCAAACAACAAGCTATCTTATCTAATAATCTGCAGATTATCAGATTATCAGAATACTTTGCTTATCAGCTAATTATAAATAATCAACAACTGCCCCAGACAGACCCAATCTTTTTACTTAGTTTATCTTCAATGAAGTTTAAGTTCTCAAGATAGAAGAGATGATTTGACCCATAGTCAAAGAATAGACTAATCAATCTTTCTTGAAAAAAAATCTCTTTCAAAGTTAGTATACCTAATAAAGATTGGTAGAACGAACCAGACAATCAAGGTAAGGTGAAATTGAGTTAATACCTCCTTACCCTAGCTAATGGATCTTTAATTTCTTTGCATAAGAATTCTTTAACATTTAAATCATATAGACTACAACTATAATTAATTAATCAAAGATAATAAGTCATTAATTATCCATTCAAATAACATAATTGGAACTTAATTTTTGTCAGAATTATAATATTTTTTAATACAAATTATGAGGTGACTAAAAATTATAAATTAGCACAAAAATAGACATTCAGAATCAGAAGAAGTCATGGTTAACAATATATAGTAATTCTCATTGAAGAAAAAAGAAAATAGAAGAAAGGAAAAAAAAGAGAAACAATAATTTATGAAGACTCAAATCTTAAGAGAGAAAAATTCAAGGGTCCATGAGAAGGAGCTTGAGGTTAAACATGAAAATAAAAAGTTGGTGTTCTAATTCTTCTATGAATATATAAGATTTAAAATATTTCTAAATAAAAAATTTTCAAACTATA